CAAAGCAGGCAGACGTGAGCTAGCCTTGTGATTTCCCTTCACTAGGCTTTAGGCAGAGTTTGCTACGATCAAGATAGCGTTACCCCTACTTTGCCCCTTACATCGGACATCAACAGGACGATACGATAGTCATCAATGATATCATCCTGACACAATTAAGAGTCAATTAACTACTCATGAGACGTCATTAAACCATTAGATCATGGACTTTTTAAACCTCCTTGATTAGATTTACTCCTCCTTTGGCAAAATCCTGCTCAGTGATGTTGTAAACGTCCCTCAAAACATGGATTCCGGAAACATGTCGGTGGAATGTCGCCAAAAGTATTTAGAACATTTTGTTCAGCGGACCAGAGCTAGTTTTCCCTAGCACTACCGCGGTAGAATCCTCGTCATGCTGTTAGAATTTGATGTGGACTAGTTCAGAAGAATCAGCAGCCCTGGACAACAAGGCAAATACCGGAACATTTCACATGTTTTCTCGACCTGCACCCATGACACGCCACGTTTCAGTCATTGAGCATAAAAGAACGTAATCCAGCATAAGAGTTCATCAATTGCTACTTAACTAGTACTCGTCCTCCTACTAGTGTGCACCAGCGTGCTGCCTATTACACCACTAAGTCGCCCTCTCAGATAAATCATTCTATACTCAAGACATGCTCGTCTGTAGCGTACCCGCCACGCCCAAAAAGGTCGCCGAAGTGAAAAGATTCTCGGGGCGAAATTCTTGGACGACTTACCAGGTCTATCGGCACCAGAAGCGTCACTGTCACAGGTGTACGCACGTTGGTTGGACGTCTCGGGGTCACGTCGGAGCGTCGATCGTGAAGCAGCTGTTCAACAAGTCAACGTTGAAATTTCCCTGCCAGCTCAAAGTGACTGTGCACGCTGAGAATTTTAAGGAAGTGGGTGTTGCTCCCTTGCCTTTATTTAGTAAACTAACCCTGCAGCCAATGAAGGCCGCTCATTCATATGCTGATGACCGGTTTGGGCGCCAACATCAGCCATTGCAGTGCAGTGGGACATGCGCGCGGGAGGCTAATCATAGAGATGGATATCTGACCTGGAAAGACCAGTTGTATGATTGACTTTATCCTTAGATATCTACAACAGCAGCCGTTTCAGGCTCTACTTTATAAAAAGGACTGCTTTTTCTCTTCCTCATTTGGAATTTTTACTAAGGCCATGTTGATTTGATTATATGGATGACATCCTCCGGGAGCCCCAAAACTGATGCGCGCGTGCGAATAAAAAAAAAGTTTTGCAAAAAAAAAAGTTCTTTTCATTATGAAATCTACGTGGTCATGAGGGTTGAGAATATGGTTTGGCGAATAAGCTAGTCTTCAAGTTCATTTCTTTACAATTTCGTCTTTTTTCGTTTGATTTTGGCATTCTACGACATTGGTATAGTTTTTATTAATTTTTTTTGTAACTTGCTCATTTTTCAACTGTTTTGTACGATTTACAGTATGGTTGAAAACTTTTTTTTTTTTTAAATTCATGCGCGCGTGGATGCCATCCATATAATCAAATCAACATGGCCTAATCGAGATAAAAAGGGCCATAGAACAATCGAGGAGGACCTCCTTGGTACAATGAAGCGATGTAGAACACACAACTCGACATTAAGCTAAACAATTATTGACATATTTGGCCATTTTTCGGCAGAATTTTTTTTAAATGATCTGATACTTTTATAGTCCTTAAATCAGAGAAAGCACAAGTCAAGTCGCATTCAATATGGAAATTGTAGCGTTGGCACCAAAAATGTATTAATATTCCTGATGCGCACTTGATAGACAATTTTGTCCCACCAGTAACGAATGTTGGCTCCGACATGATAAAAGACGAGCCAATTATGATAAGCCCAGCGGAATGTGACCTGCATGGTTGTATTATCCGTGCTGGTAGACACGCCCTTTCAGAAGAATTGTTCGTGCCTTTTGATGATATGCTTAACCGCACTACGTTTGCGTCAGAAAAAATAACAGTTAAACCAGTTGACCCATTAGTGGTCTGCGACTTTAGCGCTCGAGGGCGGATGTAGGGTTCGGCTCTGTGTTTCATGCGTTTTTGAGGCTTATCCAACTACCGGTATTGTACATGTACATCTAAATCTAACATCTAAATCATTGATCCTGATATTTTCCTATTATTTTACCTTTACTTTCTGCAAACTACATGTAGATGTTTTGATGGATCTTAATTGTCTTCAGCACTGAGTTTTTTCTACCAATGGACAAGAAGTTTATCTTGTACACCAGTAAGTACTAAATCAATTATTGCCTTGCAATTCAGTTGTACACATACACAGTCAACAAGTATGATGTGACAAGTGAGATAATACATTCATCTTTATTGTGTAAGAAGTTGTTTAATCTTGGGGAACAGCTTGAGTGCATTTTGTGTTGTCACTTGCATCACGGTTTCCATGGAGACACCCTTGATCCTGGCAATGTGCTCACAGGAGATCTTGATGTTCATTGGTTCATTTCTCTCCTGCAAGACAAGGAATACTAAAATGTACCAGGACACTAGTATTATCAACATACATTGTACAAGCACAAGTATATTTCAGAAATGAAACATGTTGGAAAACAATTCTGCAATGTTTCCATCACTCAGATGCCAGATCAATGAGTGAGTGAGTAACTGAGATGTCAAATGTTATGTCCTTGCCGGCAGTCAACT